TGCGACCCTTCATGAGTGTATGGACCATCGCTTTATAAAATATACACACCTCACTCACGTAGCTACCCACAGACTTCCATTTCGTCTCCTTCGGAGATAACAACAGATGAACTTACCAGTGAAGCCGGCCAACAATCAGCACATTCTTCATCAGGCATGCTGCAAGATCTTACCAAGGAACTGCAGAAGAGCTCGCCGTTTCCCATAACTTGCGGAGGCTTTGGGGACATCTATAAGTGTCAGTTGGCGAGGCCAGATGGGACCGTTCCAGTAAGACCAGTCTGTGCACTTGCGTCACATATTTTCCTGAATATAATGAAGGTAGCAAAGCGCTTCCATTCGGGATATTCTGATTCCCCCTAATGTCCTGCCTTAATATCTTACCTTACATAGTACTTAGAGGTCGCAACTCACCACCATATTTACCTTGACGACAACATGACCGATGCGAACAAACCCCCGACTCGAGAGATTGTCCACGTCCATGTCACTCACCCAGACCGCGACAATCTTTTCCGCATCGCAGCAACTCCCAGTGATTTGATCAAAAAGAATGTGAAGACTTTCGGCGTACAGTGTGCGCAATGTCAAAAAACATTGGATAAACTTTTGAAATATTCAAAGGTGCGTGCTGGTGGCTGATATATCTAAATCTATCACAGGCGCTTATCACATGTTTTCGTAGTGCAAGGGCGTCTGGTATTGCTCAAAAGAGGTATGATCTGCGACTTGGACAAAACAAGGTGGCAGCTACATGGTCAAAACTACGAGACGCCAAGCTGGTTCTTTCTGATACAAACAATAAAAAAATCAACCATGTCGAGGCTTCTTCTTTGGCGAAGGCGATGATTCTTCTCTCGGTCTGGGCCTCTTCGGCTTCAAAAGGTCGGGGAGCGGACAAAGTTCTATACCAGTAGCACGCTGTTGCGCACCATCGAGATATTCTGCAGCTTGTCTGTGGATATCATTCAGAAGAGTGTCGTCAAGCACTAGCAGGGGATATTTTGCCTCCGCCTTTCGATAACCATGTTGGAGAGCATCTGCGAAATGAGGAATACAATCGCCAACATCACGGCATGTCTCTGAAAGGACATCATCACAGACGGTTTGAAGTTCGTCAACAAAGGAGAAGAAGTCCCGGCGTGATGGGCTGCCGACCGTACCAGGGAATGCCAGCTGGAATTTTTCCCACTGAGCATCAAGGGAATGATTGGCGTCTGTCGTGTCCGTGTCCGTGTGATAAAAGAAGATCCAGGTAAAAGCCCACCATACGGATTCGATGTCGTGCAGGAAATTCATGCGAAATGGAGGGCGGGACGGGAGGCTTGTATCAGGTTTTCTACCAACTGGTCGGACGTTAGAAGATGTTGGGCGGAAAAGGTAGTTCTGTTTTTCTACTTCCACCGCCATGAAATGGATTGTTCCCTGGTGACGAGTTAACAGCGAAAGAGATCATCTTCAAAAACTCTTACCGTTCGAACATCGTGAGAAGTTTGTGAATCTATCTTCTTTGCGTACTCGAAGTCACCCAATTTCCCGATACCCCCGACCCAAATTACGTTCCCGACGCTGAAATCGCGATGAATCCAGCCTGCTTTGTGCATATAATACAGGGCTAAGGCTGAATGAGCGACTGAGGAAAGGAGTGACAGTGATTTGCTCACCCTTAAGTCCGTCGGACAAGCAAGTCAGGTTGTCGGCCAAAGAGGTGACATCCTTGACAGCGACTCCAACATCATCGAACACAGTGCGAGTATGGACTCTGCGTGGGATGCCGGTGTCATTTCGCGCAATACCGCCCAATTGTGTGGGAAGAAAGGCAGACAGTCGACCAGAGTCGGGTATATCGCCTGCGCTAGGTAAATGTGGTCTTGCGGAGAGGATGGGCCGGAGATCGATGGACACCCACTTCCAGCTATGATTATGCTCTTCTCCAACCAGCGGGTCCAGCGTCACGTCTGGGGTATCGTCGATTATGACATCCTTCCAGAGTCGGATTCCAACAAAGTGCCTCTTGGCATCCGCCAACTCATCCGCTTGCAGCTTCTCCGCACAGGAAGCCAGGATGCTTTCTAGGATCTCACCCTCTGATTGACGTTCAACTTCTCTCCATGAATCTTTAATGGCAACCTTCTTCCCCCCGGCGTCCGTGGCTTCGTACACGCGAGTTCCACGCCCAACCATAGAGTCTGCGCCATAGGTTGCAAGTTCACGCATCGTGGTGAACACTTCGTCCCCGATAGTGAATTTATATTGGATTTTCTTCCCGTCACGGACCCGCTCGACAGTGGGGTCCCATCCGAGCTCATTCATAGTAGAAGACGCAGACGCAGATCCAAGAGCGTAAAAGAGAGAGATAACACCGTCGATGTTCTAGATGTACCATGCCTGTTAGTACCCTGACACACAGCGCGATACGTTTGCGTACCTGAAAAAAGTCGATAGGTTCTGTAACTGCGAGACACGCACGGTTACTGAGCCACAGTCTTAATTGCGTGTCCTCGATTGTGATACCGAATGCAAATCGCCTACAGGGATCCTCCCGCATGATACTGTGAAGGCTCCAGATTATCTTCTGTTCATCCTAGAGGCTTTATGAGCGGACGCCGACAAGATCTGCAAGAACTTACGTCTCGGAGAGACTCGGTATCCTGTTCCTTCTTGAACTCGAATGGTACGGCAATGTCGAACCAATGCATCTTTGCCTCAGTTTCTTGATCGTTAAGTACAAGGTAACCATCAGGCCTGGAAGTGTTGTTGCGCTGCGAGAGGGGTGTTCCGTTTGGGTTCGCTAGGAAGGATACTCTGCGATTCGGGACTTCTGCCAAAATTTCGGAGATGATGCGACCGAGGGGCTTAAACACATTCTCTTCGGACCCTTTCGATTTGGCAGGTGGGGTAAAGTCCGTCCATCGCAGGCCACTCTCGTCGTCGGTGAGAATCTTGCTCTCTTTGTTGGTCAAGTTGTTGCGTATTCGCTGCAGATCCTGCTGAGAGGGCAAGGCACCGACACATTTCACTAGGCAATCGAATGGAACCTGCAGATACCTTCCCAAATCAGCGAGAACAGCAATGCGACCGAGTTTCAGATCCCCCGTGCGGTAATCCGTTTGTGATGTATGACGAGCGAATACAGCTGTATCTGGCGGCAGCATTTGTGACTTCTGTGATTGTGGTGTATGAGGAGGGGTGACCATTGTGATTCGATGAGGCAAGTAAGGTCAATTTGGCCTTGGGGAAATGAAACTACACAAGAACAAGACTCTTGGACGTTGAAAGCGCAATGTGGAGGGGCCCTTGAACTCGTACCACCACCATGGTCGTTTTTTCCCACGCAAAATTTGCGGGCAAGGTAGATGTAACGGTCACTCAGAGATCGTGCTCGTCACTGACTGCTTCTCACCCTTGTCTAAAACGTATTGGACTCATTTATTCCTATAGCTACAGCTACTCTACTATATGCTCTGCCGACGTACTTACTACCCGTTTCTGTCCCCACTGCCTCTCTTTACCGTTATCCCCCGAGCCTCAGTAGTATAAAAACAGAGTCCATTCGTAGTCGTACAGTAGTGTTTTCTGGACCCAAAATATCAGACTTTAATCCTGTTATTTCCCGAGAACGTTCTTCTCTTGTGCCATTGACTTGGAGCTTCGCGAGCTAAATAGTCACTGTCACAGTAGAGCAACGCCTGCTCACAGTCAAATACTGGCCTTCCCTAACCCATGTCCCACTCTTAAAAACACCCAGAACTGACATGAAAGACATTGCACCATACACTACACCCCGCCTGCAAAAACTCATAAAGACCCCGAACACATGGGCCCAACATAACCCCAGTGTAACCTACAGCAACCAAGCCAACTCCCCCGATCCCCACAACATAAAAAGCAAACAGCGACATGCCGGGTACCTGTAAGACGAGGTCTGAATCATACATACTGAAAGTCGTCCAAACGATGAAACTTACCACGTGGCTCTGCCACCCCACCCGGCCCACTAAGTAAGACTCACCCGCCCACGCAAAACAGCTGGCGTCTGCCCCGCGTAATAAACCATGAGCATAACTCCCACAGCGAAACATAAACGCCCCATACAAAGTAAGGTGGAAATGGCCACCTGGTCGCACTGCCCCGCAGTAACCTCTGAACGAAAACATGGCCACAAAACAAAAACACTGCCTCCCTGACCACACCTAGACTCAACCGATACACTCCGACCTGCCATCACCATAGTAAGCCACCCATCCACGTAAAAAGACTGCAGCAGCCCTGCTATAACCTCCTCCCCCCAAGCTAACCGGGCCAATGCTAAGCCTCACTCCCACACAACAACCTCAAGGCCCCTCGCCCAATGTAAAAAGCCCTGAACATGCCTACCCCCTCAGCCTCGGTCATCACCACGACCTCCGGACACAGTTACTGCCCCATTCGCCAGCTGGCACCGTGCACCTACCACGACACAATATAAATACTGTGCACCGATTGAACGAACCTCCCCACTCATCAACATGAAGGACTCCCATCCCACATCTATTAAGATCTCTGCCCAAGCATCCCGCCCCTACCCAGGCACTCCACGCCCCAATCCATCCACACCCCGTGTCGGGCCTAAATTCTTCCCGCAAAACATTTTGCAGGACGATGACGATATGGACACCATCACCCAGCCCCGCAGCACCACATCCCCCCTCCCTGACCCATTGTCGCCCACCTCCCCGTTGACTCCCACCCCACCTGCGAGGGTCGGTCAAGTCCATACCCCGCCATCTGACCTGCTCCTGTCCCCAGAAGGCCAAGGCTCACCCCTGCTGGGAGATCTGAGACGTAACAATAGCGGCCTTGCAGGATCTATGCATGCCCCCAGTGATGAGGAGGAGGATCATCCGATGAGCGCCCCCGCCGCCCAACACACCCCAAACGCTGAGGAACAGGCCATTTTAGCACACCTCGCGCTTGCGGAGAAAAACCGCTCAGTGGTCCAACACGACGGCCCCCAACACAGCACCGTTCTGCCCCAATTCACCCCTACCCCCCTCGGTGGATTCCCCCTCATTCATATGTCACACTCGGCACAAATCTTTGACCACCTAGACAACAAGGTGCTCCTAGCCTGGTTCCAGGTCGAACACCCGAAATTTGTCGTCCGTGTATTTGACTGCACCGGAAGGGATGTATCTGAGAAAGCAGCCATTCTTGCTGAACGCATCCGGGCCAACATCGCGGTAGTCGCGAACTTTATCCATCAAGGAGCACAACCAGTGAGAGTCTCCCCCCCCCAACCGCAAGGCGGGAAAGATGTGAAGGAGCTCCCCCTCAGCTTCCTCGTCCATAACATATCCTTGGAAGCGAGAGACCTCATTGTATCACAGCGCATATGGTCTACCTCGGACATAACCTTTGAGGCACGCCCCTTCAGCTGCTACCGCCCACCTGACCTCCTTTTCTGTATCACCGGCTTCACGACCTCAGACACTGACGTAATAACAAAAACAGTCGCGGACGTCTGGGCATACGAAGACAACCGCGCCCAGATCAACGACATCCTCTCGATGAGTGAGATACCAGAAGAGAAGGTCCATGTGGCCATGTGGGACTTGATTAGATCCATCCACGTAGAGCGTCTCGACTTTAAGATTGCTGGCGGCCTCCCAGTCCCCCGCTTCAACATTTTCGCGCACAGCCCCACCTGTGATGCAAAAGCTTGGACAGAACTGCGCTCCTTCCTCCACATACTGGAGTACCCCACGGGCCTAGACGGCTGCGGCGCCGCAGTCGCCCTGACCCCTTGCCCCATTTGCCACTCCATTGCGCACCCCCGCGGCCTATGCCCCTTCCCCTCCGTCCCACAATGGAACAGCCCGAAGACCAGCAACAAATCCCTCCCTCAACCCTCGCGGTATGTCGGGAACGGCAAAGGTCGTGGACGCCGCCAACAAGCCTAGACCACCTCTACATACCTGACCTGTAACATACTGCACATTAGCCCATCCCCACTCAGTCCCCTCCCACTTATCTTGTACGTCTTTTCGTAGCTCACATTCCAAACGGTCTCTAGAATACCCTAACTCACGCTCACACAGCAACAACGGTCTTTTCGTGTTATCCTGCGCATCCACAACTGAGTCACACCACCACCTGGTAACTCCAACCACCACGCTATAAGTGACATCTTGTCTAGTCTAACCCCGACCTACACTAACCACAGACCCCCCTGAACCAACTGTAGCCCAACTACTACAGACAAAGCGCTCAGGAAGGAACTCTGGACTCAGCCCACGTGAGACCCGGACTGACACTGTTAGAGTCGACTGCCCACATCTACTGACTGCATAAGCAGGACAGGAAAGCGTCGGCGTCTCTGAAAAGCATGGCGCATGCCAGACCACGGAAGCCTATTTAGGCTAGGACGAGCCGTGCCGAGAGGCTGAAGTCTTAGTTAGTATGTGCGACCGGTTGAATGGGCGCCCCTCAAACAGAAAGCTCTGACATAGTCCACCCGTGAAGCTGGGAAATGTCACCCCTGACCCATATATTAGTCGTGCTATGGGTAAAGTAATCCAACTGCCAATATCAATACATACAACAACCCCCCCCCCCCCCCCTGGTCTGTCTTCTGGTCTGTCTTCTGGTCATGGTTCTTGCCTCCCCGAGCACAGAGGGAGGTCTCATCCTGTCGCCGGAGAACCTCCCAATGATGCGCGAGGGGAGTTTGGTGGCGAAGTACCCCCTCCTCGGCCACACCAGGCCCCTGCCTACCCTACCGCAGACAACAACACAAAAAAGAAAACAAGGGCAAATATCCTAATTGCCACGCTAAACACTAACGGTCGAGCGTCTGGCACTCTCGGCCCGAGCCAAAGCCAAACATCTAAGTGGCCTGCTATAAACCAAATGATGAGAGAGAAACGTATAGGGATTTTGTGCCTGCAAGAAACTCACCTAACACACGAGCACGAGCGCCAAATAGACAACCTCTTCTCCAGACGACTGTTGGTACTCAACTCTAGCGATCCTGACCGCCCAGGCAACTCAGCAGGTATTGCTTTCGTAGTAAATAAAGAACTCACGAACACCGCAAACGTGAAAATGACTGTCCTCGTCCCAGGACGGGCAGCTGTCCTATCAATGAAATGGCATAACGAAAAAAATATCACTCTCCTAAATATCTACGCACCGAACAACGCACATGAACACCCCATCTTCTGGACGAAGGTTAGGGAAAAATGGCTGGAGGCAGGTCTCAACAACCCCGACTTCATGCTGGGAGATTTCAACCTTACCGAAGACCCCCTGGACCGATCTCCCGCCAGACTAGACAATGAGAATGCTATTGAAGCGCTAAGACAAACGAGAAACGCACTGAATCTCCAAGACTCCTGGAGACTGACTTTCCCCCACCGACGGATGTTCACCCACAGCAGCAGCAACAATGACTCCCTCTCGAGACTCGACCGGATCTACGTCTCAGCTGCCCTCAATGAAAGCACCACGGACTGGGACTCATATATCAGCCAAGTCCCCACCGACCACAAAATGGTACTCACCCGTTTCGCCCCCCCGGGGCTACCACACATTGGAAAAGGACGTTGGGCGTGGCCCATTGGCATCCTGTCGGACGAATCACTGATAGAGAAGATTGTCAAACTAGGCATTGAGACCCAACAAGAGATCGAAAAGATGACTCACCGCGACGACACAATGAACCCACAGATAGCGTGGATGAACTTCAAAAGCACCATGAACAGCCTAGCGAAAGATACCGCCAAGGTGCACATGGCCAAAATAAACCAACATATTAGACAACTAACGAAAGACCTACATCACACGACGAACTCACAGAGCCTTGACACCTCCAACGACCTTAGGTCCCACTGCATCCTCCTGGAAAAAGAGATTGAGCACCTGCAGAAAAAGCGTTACAAGAACGCTCACCTTCGAGCCCAAGCCCAGTGGGCGATCAAAGGGGAAACCCTGTGCAAATACTGGTCAAAGGTCAACAGCCCCAAGAAGCCCAGGGATATTATATATGGCCTCCGGAAGCCAGGCTCCCCCCACCTAACGACAAAATCTGAAGACATGGCGGAAATTGCCAGAGATTACCATGATAAAGTACAACAGACGGACCTGCTCCCTGAAGAGATAGAGTTAAGGCATCAGACCATCATAGAAACACTGAGCAACATACCGTGCAAGCAACGTCTCGAAGTACCGCCCGACACACTCCTCGAACCCCTCCGCAGAGAACAGATCCTGGAGGCGCTATGCTCGTCCAAAGCTGGTAGCGCAGCTGGGATCGACGGCATCCCATACGAGGCCTGGAGGGCTCTACATGAGCACCACACCGCGGCCAACAGGTCCAACAAGCCGAATTTTGACGTTCTAAGCACCCTGACGTATGTTATCAACGACATACAAATAAACGGAGTCCTGAAAGATGTTAAGACCGTGCACAAAGGGTAGGACTGATTCCGAGGGGCTTGGCTTCAGCTCATGCGCTGCACCCCTTACCCGAGTATGTGCCCTTAATTTCAGAATGATGTCCGAAGAAAGTCCAAGGACGTCCGAAGCGCGGGAAAGTTCGGAAGGACTTTCCGGACGAGTGCAAGTAACTTCCGGACGAGTGCGGGAAAGTTCCGGAGGAACTTCCGGAAATTACGATGAGGTTTCGTCCTGATACGGATACGTGTAATGGCTACTTAGGACAAGTCCTAAGTAGAAGCAAACAGAGGAAAGGCTGCAAGGACAAAGTCCGAAGCAGAATAGGTCCGGAGGACCACGGGAAAGTTTCGGACAAACGTCCGGAAACTTCGGAGGATCGGATGAGCGGATAAGCGGAGCTCTGGCCTAGGGAATTTCTCCCTAGGCCCGAGATGGATATTGACTAAGTCGATAGACTAGAACTGATATGAGGATTTAGAGTGAGATCTAGTGCGAGGACTAATATGATATTCAGACTGAGGAACTACAGGACATATACAAGAGTTTATATACTAAGGAAATAACGGAAAGATCAGGAAGCAAGCGTCTGAGGCTATGTATGAAGCATAAGCAAAGTTATCAAGCGCAAGTCGGAAATGAAGCATAGGTTAACGGATCAGTAAGCGTACCGGTAGTAAGTATAACCGAGATACCGAGGACAAGGAATACCGAATAGAGGAATAGGCTGTGTTAACGTTATATGTGTTACGACTAGGATAGGTCGAGCTCTCCCTAGGCGGATTGCCTAATCTGATAGCGGGCTCGCTACTGGAGAGACGGGGATCTTCTCTCGAATGAGAGGTTCGGGGGTTCCACTAAAGGTAGCATCGGCTTTCCTTTAGGTGCGGCTTAGACTGAGTGATTGGGATGATCACACAGAGGAAGTTCTGATGAAAACCTAGTAGAATCAAGTAGGGAATATACATGATTCTGTCTGCTCTATATACTGTCGTCCGTGTGCACAGACCAATACTTCGTATGGTAGGTAAGTATGAGTGTGTCTATACAAGGGCATCTTATCTGATGCCATGCGGGCGATTATCTATCCATGAGGCTTACCATGCCTCTTCTATCTGTCCTCAAGGCGAAGCATGCCTTGGAGTCTAACTGCGCATGCTGCGGCATGCGGCTTCTCTTCTGACCATGAAGCAGAGCTTCTTTCATGATCCGGGTCGAGGACCATCTAGGTCCGTCCAGATGTTGCCTAGGCTGGTCTAGGTCATCTAACGGCATCCAGGCCGTTCTAGGCGTCTCTACGAGTCTCCGTTGAGTCGGTAAGTCTTCCAATGACGGTGTATAGGCGGGATAGGGGCTAAGGTCATGGTGACCTCCGTAGGAGGGGTTCTCGGTTACATGTTATTGTAACAATATGCACAGGAAATGAATTAGGAAGCTTATCGTATATCGGATCGGATCGGACCGGACCGGACCGGATGTCCGGACAAGAAGCGTGGATATACGGGATATGATATTAGGGCAATAGGACAAAGGATGAATGATGCAGGCTAGCTGCGGAGGTATGGAGGTCCGATGTACGGAGGTAAAGGGATCTGGACATGGATGCGCGGATGTGGATGTGCAGAGGTGCAGGGATCCGGATGGGTAGAGGACTGGAGACATGGATAGGGCGTCCGAAGGTCCGGATGAGGCGTGTGAACATTATCGGATGTAGGTCCGGAATACGGGATATGACAAAAGACTCCAACTTTACCCTCGGTTGGATGTGCCCTCTGTATAAGAAGAAAGACCATACCACAATAGAGAATTATAGGCCAATAACCCTGTTAAACACGGACTACAAACTATTAACAAAAGCACTGGCTATGCAACTAGGGAGGATAATACATACCCTAGTACATCCTGACCAGAGCGGGTTCATCCCGAAAAGATCCATATTCGACCCTATCCGCCTGGCGCAGGCAATGGCGACATATGCGGACATGCTGGAAGAAGACAGGGTAATCATAGCATTAGATCAAGAAAAAGCGTACGACAGAATCAGACACGATTACCTACTCACCACGCTGACCAGTTTCAACCTGCCACCACTTTTCGTAAACACAGTAAAATCCCTATATGAATCGGCTTACACGAAGGTAGCCATAAACGGCTTCCTTAGTAGCCCGTTCCAAGTCACAAGAGGGGTGCGCCAAGGCGACCCACTCTCATGTCTCCTTTTCGATCTGGCCATCGAGCCCCTAGCGTGCGCTCTGAGGAACTCCCCAAAACTGTGGGGATACAACGTACCAGGACTGACAGAGAAAATAATCGTCAACCTATATGCCGACGACACTACAATCTACCTAGCCAAGGAGGACAGGTACTCAGACCTCGAGGACATCCTCCAATCTTGGTGCCGGGCATCAGGCGCCAAATTCAACCTGGAAAAGATGGAAATCCTACCTATTGGTTCCCCGGCGCATCGAGCATCAGTCGTAACCAACAGAAAATTCAACGAGGACGACGAACCTTGGTCTGACCACGTCAAGATTGCAAGTGATGGTAACCCCATCAGGACCCTGGGAGCCTGGGTAGGGAATGAGCTGGACCACGCTGCCCCCTGGGAACCGGTACTTACGAAAATAGAACAAAACCTGACACGGTGGAACTTAGGCCACCCCACACTAGATGGCAAGCGACTCATTGTCCAGATGGTGGTGGGAGGAATGACGCAGTTCTTAACCAAAGCACAGGGCATGCCAAAACCAGTTGAGACCGCACTAACAAAATGCATCAGACAATTCATGTGGGACGGGAGAACAACCTCACCCATTAGCCTCGGCAGGTTGTATCAACCTAAATCAAAAGGCGGCATTGGCCTCCTGAGCATTCATGCCAGAAACCAAGCTATCGAGATTACCTGGCTACGCTCATACATGGACGTATCACCGTCACGCCCCTCCTGGGCATTTGTCACCGACGCCATCATCAGCTCCTTGAAAGCAGCGTACCCAAGTGCCTCTGACGATCCCCGCTCCTTCCTTACAGCCTGGGCCCCACCGGCACAGGGCCTGCGGGTGTCCTCGCTGTCCAAAAACATATCCAACCTACTAAAAACCGCCAAAAAACATTGCGTGAGCTTCGCACCCATCAAAATGCACACAAACCTTAAGCTCCTGCTGCCTGCTTGGGACCACATGGGCGCCCCGCCCAAGACCTACAATAAGAAAAAGGACGCATGTCTCCGAACGGTTCACAGGATCAGGACGGTGAACGACCTCTTCTCCCTCACGACCCGCCTAAGGACCAACGGACCTCACCAGGCCAGGCGGAACTGTGCCTGCAACCCCTGTAAAAACGATCTGGTATCTGGATGTCCCAACCCCCACAAATGTGCCAGTGCAGCGCAAAACATCCTTCAAAAGCTTCCCTCCAAGTACGACTACTCATACTCCCCGCAAAGAGATAACCTAACCTTGACGCACCGAAGGAAAGAGAAAAACACCAGAGCCATCCTGAGCCAGCGGGGAGAGGTCACTTTCGACCCCTCCGTCACCGAAAACGACCTGTCTGCCTGCATGAGGATCTTCACCAATGGGAAGGAACCCACCTACCCCCCTGCCTATAGGCTATGCGCACCCCCAGCCAGAGAACCGCTGGTCGATGACCAAACCATCATATACACTGATGGTTCGTGCCTGAACAATGGGAGAGCAAACGCGAAGTGCGGCAGCGGAATCTGGATCTCGCCCGAACACCCGCTAAACCGAGCAATCAAAGTTCCGGGGGACACACAATCCAACCAACTGGGAGAACTCACTGCAATACTGGTGGCACTACAACTCGCCGACCCTCGAACCCCACTAAAGATAGTAACGGACTCCAGGTACGCCACCGAAGGCCTAACGTCCCACCTCAGCCACTGGGAGGATCGAGGATGGATAGGTATATCGCACGGCGCCACGCTAAGGGCCATTGCCTACCACCTACGGAAGCGAGCTGCTCCAACGGCCCTCCTCTGGGTGAAAGGACATGCCGACAACGAGGGCAATGAACAAGCCGACCACCTCGCGAGTCTTGGCGCTGCCAAGGCCCTAGACGACGAGGTGGACCTCTCCATTCCAGACAACTTTGACCTACAGGGAGCAAAATTACGCTCAGTGACACAAGCCATAGCCTACTCCAAAATATCTGGGCAGACACACCTTGAATACAACCGGAAAACGATAGAACTGCTGGACGTAACTAGACATGCCGTGCACCAAATATCAACCAACATGGAAACCGATGAGACAATATGGCTCAGCTGCAGGAAAAAGGACATTGCGAAGAAAGTTCAGATATTCATCTTCAAAACGCTACACAACGCTTACAGAATAGGTGAATTTTGGCTGAACATTCCTCAGAATGAACACCGCGCAATGTGCTCGGTGTGCCGCAACGAAACTGAATCAATGGACCATATCCTGACAGAATGCACCCACCCAACTCGGAGGACCATCTGGATGTTAGCACGCGATCTTTGGCCGTCACAACACGGTCGATGGCCAGAGCCGACCATTGGCTCCATCCTTGGGTGTGGCGCCCTGAACCTCCCACACACTACTGATAACGCAGATCCAGAGGACAAAGCAAGGGCAGCGCGGAAAAGAGGCGCCTCGCGCTTGCTGAGGCTACTCCTGTCGGAATCTGCACACCTTATATGGACCCTGAGATGTGAACACGTCATCGGCGGCACTGCGCACCCGGAGGAAACCATCGCCAAACGATGGCAGAATAACATAGACCGGCGGTTACAAATAGACCGAGCAATAGCGTGCAAGAAGAAATCCATCGCACAAGTCCGGAACACGTGGGCTGACGTAATTGAAACAACCCCCCCAATGAGTAACGACTGGGTAACCACCCATGAGGTTTTAGTGGTATTAGACTACCCAGGCCCCCGCAGAACGGAGGAACCGGGTAGTACACAGAGTCCCACACTACCCTACTGACAGTAGGGCGTGCATAAGAGCATTTTTCCTCGGACGATACCTAGGTATCGCTATAAGCGTTTATGTAAGGCTCGACGGTGTCAGTTGTTACATAATAGACTCGCTTTTCCAAAAAAAAAAAAAAAGAAAGCGCAATGTGTCAGCGATGAATGAAACTCCGACTGAATTGAGCTGAGCGGCTGACATGCCAAACCCAATGACATGCAGTGGGATACAAAATTCCTGAAGTCCATGACAGAACTGGCTACTGTGGCCCATAGGGCCATCATGCGTCATGATGGGTGAATATATTTTACTCCGCTTATTCAGAACTTATACTGAAGCATGCTTGCTTAGCAGGGGGACTTCTTCAACCGCCTTTTCTCAGACATTTGTCCCAGTAGATCATGACAAGAGATGTTCCAACGAGACGTAGAGCAGTCTTGCTCGCCATTTTCATCGCTTTTGGTCAGTTCACTCTCGTCACTAGTACTACCATGTGCTCACTGAACTCTTCCTCGCAGGAGGTGCGCGGATGTCATACACAGAATAGAAAATGTACGTCATTTTTTAGCAACTGCAAGATTCCTATTTCTTTGCTCATATAGGCAGTAGATTAATATCCATTTAATCAAAATTCGGTGATAGGCTTCTTGTTTGGGTATGATATAGGCGTCATTTCCGTATGTACTCATACTTCCTCAGTCCTCGACATATCTGAACTTTTCGTCTACTTCAGGGATGTCTGATTTTATCTGCCAATTCGGCCAAGAAGGAACGAATAGCCAGTACTACCTGTCAAGTTCGAGACAATCGATCATTAATATTGTCTCTGTTCTATCGGCTGGGTAAGACCGCAATATCTGATTCCACTCTGTGCTGACATTCATACTCATCGTAGCACGTTCTGGTGGGGAAATTATATCTCGTTGCTTGTAATATGGTCTGACGATACCTAAAGTGGAGCCATCGCTCAAGCGTTCACATCTGATCGGCTGGGACGCTGTGGATCCATTCTGTTCTGGTCGGCTATCTTCACTGTCGGCGTGGCTATCCAAACCAGCACGACATACTCTCTTGTTCAGTTGCTCATAGGGCGTCATATCGCAGGCTTAGGTGCCGGTTCATTGTCAGGTTGGTGCTGATGTCAGGATATGACTTTGTGAATCTAACTACATCTATTCAGCTATTGTGCCCCTGTATAACGGAGAAACGGCACCGAAAGCTATTCGTGGTACAATCTTGGCTATCTATCAAGTCCAGATTATCTCGGGGTTCGTGAAGTCTTCATCCTCCATTGTAACAATAGGTAACACTTGTTATCTAGCGTATTTTTGAGTTATGTGTTTGAACTTGGAAGTCACACAATCAACAACTCTGCGTCCTGGCGACTCCCTATCGGATTGCAAATGGTCTGGGGTATCATAATTTTGTCTGGAATGTTTTTCCTTCCAGAATCTCTGTACGTGCAACTTCTGAGAACCTCTCATTTCAAACTGATTTGACCTTCATTAGTCGACATCTTCTCGGAACTGGACGAGGTGACCAAGCGCGCAAGGTCATTGCAGAACTCAACGGAGTCCCAGAAGACGACCCTCTTGTGATTGAGATTGTTAGGGAACTCGATTTTGCTATCAGAGCAGAGAATGAAGGTGGCAAAGCGACTTGGTTAGAATGCTTCTCCACGAGAAATGCACTGTGGCGTCGGACAATCAATGGCATGGTGCTTCAATTTATTCAGCAGCTTAACGGCCAGAACTTTTACTGTAAGATCCTTCGTGCTGATTTATTCTGACCCCTAATGACTATTGGTGACAGACTTCTATGGCGACACCTTCTTTCAGAGTGCAGGTGCAGGGCGAGTCTTAAATCTCTCCACTTAATGCTGTTTAGCTCATGAAATGGCAGGCTTTCACCTTATATCATCCAGACGATTCTTGGAGCGGTGTCACTTTTTGGAACTCTCCCCGCGCTGTACTTCATCGAGACTTGGGGTCGCCGAAAGGTATTCCTTCTTCCACTAGACGATCAGAGCAGAAATTTACTTTTTTCCTAGTCCATGCTCCTTGGCGCGTCTGCGCAAGCTGTCTGTGCACTAATTGTCCGTGCACATTATCCGTTGGCAAACAGTGCTGGACTGATACTTCCGCTAGGTCGCTGTGATTGGGCATGCTACCCTTGCGCCTACTGGAACGCCAACTTCAGCACTTACTCCTCGTAATAGAGCTGGGGGCAACGTTGTCATTACTTTTGCAGTATTTCAAGTGTTCATCTTCAATACGACTTGGGGATCTACTCCGTGGGTGTACCTCGGAGAGTCTTTCCCTCTTCGAGTGCGCCCCAAATCAATTGCTTTCGGGTGTGCGACAAGTATGATTGCTCCCTTTTCGCTATCTGAATTCGCTACTCACGCTTGTTCAAGACTGGTTCTGGAACTTCATGCTCTCGTACTTCTCTCCAAGGATTGTCGATCGGTGAGTCTAAACTACAGCCAAAGATTCTGGGACATTTTTCGATGTTTGAACACCTCGCCAGGATTGGTCCAATGATAATGTTTGTCTTCTTCGGCATGCTTGTCTTTGGATACATCTACGTGTATTTTGCCATTCCTGAAACCAAAGGTCTAACTTTAGAAGAGGTGATGATTCGTGCGCGTTGTAAATTGCTACCCATCTGATGAATAACCCAGGTGGACGAGTTGTATCGCTCTGGCATCGCACCCTGGCGATCAGTAGGCTGGCGACCGAGCGAGAAGCATTATCATCCCGAAGTACATGAGAAACAGGGGTCGGTGAAGGTACAACAATTCAGAGAGTGAGTCTGAACAATGTTGGGTCTTGCAGAATCTAGCTGCTATTCGACCCTAAAGGGTTTCTGGACCAGGCTCAAGGCTCAGAGGAGAGGAAATATCATGAAAAACTACTGAAGACCCAGACTCATACTGATAACTGGTGAAAAGATAACTTGCTTATGTAAGCTACAAAAGTGCCAACATAAGGTAAGGTAAAAACAGTCTCTACAAGCCCAGCCAGAAATGAATCCCTACATCGGACTCTGGAAAATTGCTAGAGATATAAGTATATATGCTGCCATATTACGTATTGATATGATGAAGCGGATCGCGATGGAGTCCATCATGATCGGGCCAATGTTGTGTCATGTGCTATCTACGCCCTCCATCGCGAATGTTCGGGATGGGTATGTCTTGTTTTCTATTTGTTGTTAGAGTATAGCTGTACTCGGTCTAGATTTGTCCTTGTTCTTGATGTGTCGGTCTCTACAGAAGTAATTTCATGAAGCTACAACATACAATACACCAAACCTCAATATTCAATACAAGCACCTTTCTTCCACAATCCTATGCCTGAAATCTGACTGCATCTTTCTGCTTGGTTCGAATTGGCTATTGACCGGGAAAGACAATTTGTAGCCTAAACCACTGTCGGAGTATGCTCTGTCCCTCGGCTTGTAGCCCACGTTTCTGGTCCCTACAATATTCCGGTTACTATGGTCACATCCACTGCAACAGACTGATGGAGTGCTTACCAATCTGTTATTGATTCTCTGATTCTTGATTCTTCTCGCGAACCACTCTGCAGCAGTAGAACCAGTCTCGAAATTTTTGTCAGGTCGCTTCTTCACCGCTTCTGCAATAATATGACCGGATTCGACAAGAGCCCGCAGGACCTTCGAGTTGCCCGGGCGGGGGAAGAAAACCAAGGACCACCGCTCATATTCAGCCTGTACACCAGGAGGTGCACTATCCACAGTCATTCGACAGATTAGCAAGGTTGACAATTCAAGTACTCATGCACGCACACAACACGGTGAATGTTAGATTGCAGGATGCCTCCGCTGAAAAGAGATAACGCATCTCCAATATTGCAGACAGCATGTCCAGGGATGGGCTATCAGTAGATAAGTGTCTGTTGTACGTGCACGCGAGCACCAGACTCGTGCTCACTCGAATGTAGGACCACTCTTCGTGACCTGGGGGAAGTACTTGGAGTCCACCGAGGCGATTGTGCAAGAAGCTCTGGTAAAGTTTGATTAAGAAGACAAAACCCACGTGGTGTCCAGGTACCCACCAAGCTGCCGAAATCAGTATGCGCACCTATAGCAGGGATTTTCGCTGCTTCTTTAATCTGCACAGGAGGGTTACGAATACATCTAGTCTCACTACCACTATGCTCCTCCATGTCATGCAGACTCTCCAAAGTCCCTTTCGGCAGTCCAAGCTTGTCGTTGAATATATTCAATACAACATATGTCACTTCGAGACCTTTGCGGGCAAATGGTGCAATCGTGTTTTCCATGCGAGCATTTACGGTCGATGGGTAGGTGCGGTGAATGACCTGCGGGTATGCCAGAGCATCATCCTTAGAAACGTTTATGAATTCGACAGAGTCCAAGGTGCCTGCATTTGCGTTAGCCTACTACTTAGTAGTAGATTGGTCTAGAAATCCTACCAGCTGCATCAATCGCATTAGCCCCTGCTTTCTTGTATCTGATAAGGAACCCGTATAAAAGAGAGGCGCTCATGAGCTAGATCAAAACCAACCCGAAAGATCGACCGTTGTCTCCTTGCTCGAACGCCATAAGTTCTTCGAAGGGCAAAGCCATTGTCTCAGCTCCCATATCAAACATCTCGCTGACTTCTTGGTCTGCGCCATGATTCTTTAAACTGTTAGAGTTAGGTCCGGCGCAAATTCAATAAAATATTTAAACATGACGTACTACCAGAATCCGATAGTCGTCGCAGCCTCCCACAGTCGATTTACTTCCTCCACATCCCCAGCCTTGATGAGCTCATAATCAATAATCGAGAGTGGATGTGTTCGAACATCGTTGGGGAAAGGAGGAAGAGTACTTCCAGGCATAATATGATCTAAATAAGGATGTGAGAATGGTCATCGTAGTATGGTTAAGAGTGGATATACCGACTTTGAGTGGAGGCGGTAGGGTAAGTACTAGAGAATGCTTTGAAAGTGCTATGGGAACTTGAAGGCGACCATTATATACTATGCGAAGTAGTGCAATCACCACCTGACTTCCAATAGCATCAGTATTACCTATAAGTACTAGTTTACCTAGTGACTTTCCTGTTAGAATCATGGGGCAATCACAGCAGGGTTAGAAATATTTAAGATAGGTTTTAATGTTATCCGGAATCCTAGCTGCCAGACGACAGGCCTTCAAAACGTCGTGACTCAGGTCAAGGGGACTGGGTCAACTAGAAGGTAAGCACATAATTTACTCCACCGACTCGACCACATCGACCAATTTGAATCGGTTCGTCGACAGGAAGATGACGATGCACTATCTTTGAATCGCGATTGGTTGCATATAATGTACATTACATCCTCCTGGGTTCAACAGAATGATCTTTGCTCCAATGATATCCATCAGATCAGGCATGAGTCAAATGAAGACTACGGTTCTCTTCGCTACCCCGCTGACCAATGACAGAACTTGCGAGGTATTGGGAGTCACCGCTGATGAAAAGGGCGAATGTGATGAAGACGGGCCGATGGCCCCACACTGAGGCTTACTTCATTCGCCAGAGGACTTAATGCATGTGGGTTCATTGATCAAGAGTAGGCTGCACCAATACTGGCAGCTATGTAACAATAGTAGATAATTTACTTTGCGATGCCAATGCGCCATGCACCGCCACCTCAGCACGGCGCGGGAAGGTAATGGTGGAAACAATGTGATGACCAAAATGTACTTCATAAACCCTGTCGTCCGGGGTAATGAAGTATAGGTGGCGAAAGGAGGGGAACATCCGGGATTCTGGTATGGAGGTTAAGGATCCATCACATCTCCTCTCAAGTAGTTCTAGGTCATCGCTGGCGACACGAGCTCCATCCGGATTCAGAAATTCCACAGTGTAGATCTGGTGCTTAGGGATCTGCACGGGTACGGGTACTACTGGGGTACGGGTACGGGTCGGGATTCTAAGACCCGCGCTCTTACCCGTACCCCAGCTATACCCGTGCCTTCCATAAATGGTAGCACCTCCTGCATCAGTAATAGCGGACGCCATACTTCCCGCGTGCATGCTACAACCAGCACCACCACCAACACCGGCACCTAACGCACCTTCCCAAGTCCACCAACTCCACGTTCACAGCGCGCGCGCCCGAAACGCGTCAACAAGTGTTGACGCGATGCAAACACACGCGGACAACACGCGAAGACGAAAGGACAAGAGAATCGAGGAAGGGAGAAGGGATGGTATAGAGATGAAGGAGGAAAGAGGAACTCGAGGAGACGAGACTTTGGGCACGCTGAAAGTGAGTACTCACATTGAAGACTCTACCCCCAGCAACAACAACGACGTCATACGCGTCACGTCGCCAGCGCCTATCTTTGTGCGCCCAGCACTCGCACCACCACATCAGGAAAACAACTCAAAATTGATATGACCAGTTAGACCTGACAAATAAAACCCATTATGATACATCTAGATTTAGAATTACATATTATGATCTTTGCACAACATGTGTATGAAGAAATACATGACAATGTCAAGGACATATCAATTTGCTATGCATCTTATAAGTATACAACAAATATATGAAGGGATATATAGCTATGCTAGGAACATATCATTTTGATATGCCTCTCACAAATATATGACAATTATGTGAAGAAATATATGACTGTGTCAGGGAAATGTCATTTTGATATGCATCTTACAAATATGCAACAAATATATGAAGAAATATATGACTATGCCAAGGACATGCCATTTTGATATCCATCTTATGATTATGTAACAAGTATATGGAAGAATATATAACTATGCTAGAGATATGTCATTTTGATACCTATCTCACAAATTTACAACAAATATATGAAGAAATATATGACATGCTAGAGGCATCTCATTTTGATATACATCTTACAAATATGTGACAAATATATGAAGAAATATATGACTATGTCAGGGACATGACATCTCGATATGTGTCTTACAAGTATGCAACAAGTATATGGAGAAATATATGACTATGCTAGAGGCATCTCATTTTGATATACATCTTACAAATATGCAACAAATATATGAAGAAATATATGACTATGTCAGGGGCATGTCATCTCGGTATACATATTACAAGTATGTAACAAGTATATGGAAGAATATATGACTATGCTAGAGATATGCCATTTTGATATGCATCTTACAAATATGCAACAAATATATGGAGAAATATATAACTATGTCAGGGACATGACATCTCGATATATGTCTTACAAGTATGCAACAAGTATATGTAAGAATATATGACTATGTCAGGGACATGACATCTCGATATGTGTCTTACAAGTATGTAACAAGTATATGAAGAAATATATGACTATGTCAGGGGCATGTCATCTCGGTATACATATTACAAGTATGTAACAAGTATATGGAAGGATATATGACTATGCTAGAGACATGCCATTTTGATATGCATCTTACAAATATGCAACAAATATATGAAGAAATATATGACTATGTCAGCGACATGTCATCTTGGTATACATATTACAAGTATGTGACAAGTATATGGAAGAGTATACAACTATGCTAGAGTCATGACATCTCGATATGTGTCTTACAAGTATGCAACAAGTATATGAAGAAATATATGACTATGTCAGGGGCATGTCATCTCGGTATATATATTACAAGTATGTAACAAGTATATGGAAGGATATATGACTATGTCAGGCAGGGACATGACATCTCGATATGTGTCTTACAAGTATGCAACAAGTATATGTAAGAATATATGACTATGCTAGAGGCATCTCATTTTGATATCTGTCTCACAAATATGCAACAAATATATGAAGAAATATATGACTATGTCAGCGACATGTCATCTCGGTATACATATTACAAGTATGTGACAAGTATATGGAAGAGTATACAACTATGCTAGAGACATGCCATTTTGATATGCATCTTATAAGTAGAGATCAATGTGACAAGTAGCCTTCAATAGTACACATTATTTGGCTGGCTGATGATCAAACTTATAACATGTTGTGACACCCATTTCATGTTACTAGTAAGTACCTGCACAAATGACAATTGTGACAATGACTTGACAATGTATTATAACCTGATGTCCTGAATTATATTATAAATGACCAGATGACTCCATCTTCAATCCATCTCCTCCCGGGCCCGCCCTCATTTGACATGCTTTTGATGAGCCTGGAGATCTGACTGACAACTGACTGGCAATCAGGCTCATATTCCTTGTCATCATTATCATGGGCAGACTTTAACAAGAGCCTCCAGGTGAGCTTCTCCAACATATTATCAGGGACAACTCCAACACTTGCAAAACATTAATAATTGGTCTATAGAAATTCTAAGGACACAATCACATCTGAAGACAAAAAAATCTATACCCAGCACGACGCACACTCACAAACTTGAATACCCCTTCACCTCCTCCTCCCAAGTCCAGGCATCTCCCCAAAAACAACATATCTCTACTACCTCCTCAGGCATTATCACATGCCAACTCGTGAGTGATCGATGACTTTGTCTGAATCCTCAGGTTCTGATTGTTGTCCTACTCAGCAAACATCAGCGCGACAGATTCCTGACGTTTTTTGTGACAATTACCAGTCGTGAAATCTTCTAGTTCATCAGCTTTCCATTTTGTGAGCTAAAACACGGTCAGCGGACATTGTAAGAACAATTCTATCCAGAACTGACTTTGACCACATTTTCGGTGAAGTTGGCCAGTTGCGCAATGTGGATACTGAAGCTTTGGTCCGAAACACCTTCATCCAAAAGTTTCAGAGAAAAAGGTTTGGTTGGAAAATCAAAACACATTTGGTTTGACCTTGTACAAGAGCGTGATATCCTTCTCACGCAGCGCAGATGCATCTTCTTGGTTCACATGAGCCACAACGTGGAGGTTTTTCACGTGAGGAAGCTCCTGGTCGAGGGCAGTCAACTCGTGAAAGTGAGTAGCAAACAAGCAGAAAGTGCGGATGTGGGGTGCAATATGCCTTTGGGTGCCATCAGATACGACTTCAGGAAATAAATGTTGTTCTCATACTCAGATATAGACCATGCCAGGCCGAATCCGTCATACATTGAAGTTCCTGAAGACAAGGCAAATATTGACAAAACATGCTTCATCGTCCAACAGAAGACATACCGCGGCCGAGCTCATCGATGATAATGAGAGAATCTTGAGTAGCAGACTGAACAGTGCACGACAGTCAGACAGAAGAAAGATTGTGTAGATACCACTTACTCGGAGGATCAAAGCAGTCTCAAGCATCTCGGCCATGATAGTCGAGACACCCTTCAACTGACTGTCACTGCCTGCACCCACACGGCAAAGCACCGAATCAAAAATCAGTAATGTTGCCTCCGAGCAAGGAAAAAACATCCAGTCTGTGCCATGAGAGCAATGACTCCAACCTATGAGGTAGGTTCAAGTTGAGAAGGGCATTCGCGAACGATAGGTAGGTTAGCTCTGTTGGAATGGTACAGGAGCAGCACCTACTACTGATTATCTGAAATTCACAAGCCGGCACATGACACATGTAACGGTGACAGTGCCATAAACCTTACCCTTCACCATTTCCACATCATTTAGAATGAAGCTTATGATATCGTCCTGAACTTCGAGGCAAGGATGCTGCGCGTCGCGTAATATTAAGCCGCTAGAACCTGATGTGCGTTGATCAATTCCTGCGTCAAACATCATCTCCAAAACTCGCCTTTCTCCAAGACTTTCAGTTTCACGTATGGCTCAGGAGCATTTACAGAAACATGAGCGAAACTAGATGATCGTTACCACATGTGCAAGCTCCAGTCACAGGGCTCACCTGATGATAACGTCTAGGTGTGCAATGATGTGGTCGAGATTCTCTAGTACAGATGTATATCATGATGTTGCTGTGCGAAGGAAAAGGCATATGTGAATGCGAAAGTAGTAATGAAAGGAGTATCTTACATACAATGCTCACAACTTCCTTCACTAACCCGCTCTGCATTTGCTGATATTCATGCGTAGCCTCTTGATGGTCCATGGAAAGTGCTTTTAGCTTCTTGGTTGTAAAGTAGACTCCGCTCTTGACAGTCCCGAGTTCAATATATTTGTTGTTCCGCATGATGGCTTTCGCATCCTGATAGGTATGTGGGCTCATGGAATCTCGCAGTACGGGAAGCTTACATTCTTCATCAACCTGAAGCAGTATCTTGCCGGTCGCACGATGTTCAGCATCAAGACCATCCCAGATCTGAGAAAACGTCAGCCCTGTTCGCCATCATTCTGATAGACATAATATGAACCTCCACAAGTTTATCTGCCAGAACTTACAGACGCTCGTCATAGTCAGGCTTGATCACGTAATTATGATTTTCGAGTTCTTCAAGATCTAGCGTTGACTCTACCATTTCACCATATTTGACGAGATTCTCGTTGACAGCCTGGTAATAGCAGGTGTTAGAGGGAGCGGTGATGATGTAATTCGACGAAACTATGACATGCGCACCTGGAAAGGCTTGATATAAATTTCATCGATAAGCTCCTTGTGCTCCTTGTGTTTGTACTGGACACCTTCGAGAGTCTCGAGAAAACCAGGCAGCTAGTTGGGTAAAGTAAATAACACTGAGGGCCAGGAATTGAAGCAAAGTACCTTGAGGATCACTTGATATACGCTCACAACATCCTCAAGAGATGCGATAGATTTCTTGAATCGTTTGCTTAGTCGGTGGAGGTCAGGCATTAGCTTCAAGTAGTCATCCTGCGGAATGAAAATAAATGACGCCCTTGACAAAGGGTATTGTACTAACCTGCAGTTTTCTCCGAGAAGATCCATCATCCACAAATGTCTCCACAAGGTCTTGCCGTTTACTTGCAAGGCTAAAGTTTTGTTACGTCAAGTGGAGTAAGAAACGGGCATACGTGTTTCGTGCAGATTTACCAAGGGTTGCTTAAGCCATGTCCCGAGAAGCCTAGTTCATTGAGCAGTCTTGCATTTATTTAGCAGACCAAGGAGGGTTGCATGTTTATTGATACTTCCCTACAGGGCGACCGTTAGCAGGGAAGATATCAGTATGAACTGCATCTTGAATGACTTACAGCACTCCCAGGGGCGTCAATCAGATTCAGTGCACGCAATGCACTAGCATCCAAGCGCATACATCGTGCTAGATCGTGTGTCCGTAACTTGTATGCCCCGTGATTGGAAGGATCAGAAAGGAGAGAAAGATAGCTGATCGAGGCAGAAGGTGCAGACAGGGCTGAAGGAAGGGAGAGCTCAGCTAGATGATATTGTGAGTGTTGCTTGAGCAGTTAAGATATCAAAACCCACGAATCGAAGCAGCAGAGTCTGAATCCGTTTCTGAGTCGATCGTTGATTTTTAACGTCGTCTTGGACATGTTTTGGAGTAAACTCGCCTACTAGTAGGACCTGGAATTAGATGGACTTAAGAAACTGCATGAATGTTGACTTACTTGGTTTACGTTCAGTCACAACCACAACACACCTCTCGAACACGGCTTTTAGCTTGCTCAAGTCGAGGTCGCGGTCTGTTGTTCCAGTGGGAATAATGGCTTCTTTGACTGAAAGTCGTATGAACAAGAGACTATTCAACCAGTGTGAGGAGATAGCGATGACGGTCTGCAACTAAGTACACCCACCTCAAGGTTCGAGAAAAGATCGTTGTCAATGCAGTCAGCAACTCCGAACTCCCTCACACTGGTATCCGCGAAGACAATGCCGATTGACTTGGTCTTGGCTTTGTTCGTGACTGAAGATGATGATACTTTGACAGCTAAAACGATAGGTGCCGATGTAACATCGGAGCTGACAAAGAGAAGGTCTTCAACAGCTTGGAGATTTCCAGGTGATGCCTTTCGAATGGTTAATTATGGCTATAAAGACAAGACATTACTTACTCACCTCCGATGTTTCCAAAATGAATTTGGAAGCTTTCCTTCCCTGCCCAGGTGCGGGCACCAATATTTCTACGCATAGCTGTTTAGATGTAAGGGTATCTCGCAAAAATGGGCGAGCCAGGGTATGGCTGGCCGCAGTGAGCGTGACACTCGGAAGACCACCAGCCTTGCCTCCAGCACCTAGACACTTGAGGACGGAGTTGGTACGAAAGACGTGTGTTGCGACATAGTGAGCATCCTGCCCGTGGACAGAGTAGTAGTCTGTGCGATCAAATAGACGGATCGTTCCAGTTTCAGGAGATTTCTTTGGGAGTTTGGAAAAGAATGCAACGAAACCGGGGTCAGAGGCTGGTCTCAGGTCAGAGTTAAAATTCTATGGTCGAGCAATCAAAGACTCACTCAGTTCATGCTCTGCATCCTTTTCCTTCCCACACATGCCAAGAGCCACGCTACTAAATTTTGACCTGATAACACAAGGAAAAAGCAAAAGACGTGTCGCGTCACGTGTATTGAAAAATTGCTCCCGCCAAATCTGCTGCCATTTCACGACTTCGTTCATTATGTAATTCAGCGTTGTTCAACTTCAGTCCCAGCAATGTTTCAATGTGAAATTCTCCCCTGTGCAGAAACGAGGAATTCACATCTCGACTCGATAGAGTAGTACCATAGAAGCAATGGTGATCATAGATACCTGTTAACTGGTCAATAATAGCCAGCTTGTACGGAAAGTTGTTCATGTGGCACAACAAAAGATAATTCCACGTACTAAAAGTCATTAATTATCTATCTTGTTCCTTCCTAGTACAGAATCGTTATTGATCAGTGTTCTCATAATAGACTTAGGACTCGCGCACACGGGCATTATCGGTATTGTATCAGATTGCGGCACGTAAACATACCAAATCTGACGTAAAATCCATCAATACCAAATCTAAAGTCTGATTCGTCCGGTAAAAACCATATGATGCCACCCCTATGAATTTCATGTACATTAGTAGATGACTTGCCATGGTCTTCTCGGCAATTTCACCGAGTACTAGAGCAGGCACGAATCATCATACTCACCCGCACCGCAATCTTTTTCTTGTATTCCTAGAACACTGCGTCAGTAGTGTGTCCTCAGATCAAATGTAAGTACTGACCTCCTTCAATGTTGTCCCAATAGAGGGCATAGTATGCACTTGCTAGTTCGCGCTGGTAGCTACTGTGCAACAATGAACGTGACCGTCATCAGGATGGCAATGATAGGTGGAAGGCGAGGGAATGGTGGGTGCTGACCGCAGAGGATTTGCGAAGCACACGATAATTTGCCCTTGCAAAGGTGACAATCGGAGGTTGCAAATTTAAACTTGAATAGGTTGCTCCTTCGAGAAGTTTAGAGCAATCTTCACAGTAAAAAAAGACCATACCTGTTGTGAAAGCGTAACTTTACTACGCACGCTTCCAAAAATAGATACAAAACTATCAGAAGTCAGTTCCTTCATCACAACGGTTTGGGGCATACTGGCAACTAGCGTGTTCAGAACGTCATCAGTTTTACCAAGATCAACATTTTGAAACTCTGAATCGCTGCGAAGGTATCCAAGATAGCGGGGGTTGTGATACAGCGAATTGGCAGTGTGCAGAGCTAAATGGTGGCAGAGAGTTGAATGGCAATGCAGGCTCATATCGTTCCGTCACACCCGGTGGTGTAAAGACACTGTAAAAAGACCTGTGAGTGAGTGAGATCATCAGAGGGGGAGAGATGGAACAGACGTTGTCATCACCAGCGCAAAAGATGGACATGACTCCAGGGTTTCAATGATAGTATAATAAATGCTTGACGATTTCCCCCTTGTATGAACTGTCAATCTGCACGCATATAAGAACCACACGCACAGACCTTGTTTACAGCGATCGTGTGCTCTTCTGCGACCACGAACTCCGTCGACTCGGAAGTCGTATTCATTCCGTCCCTGAGGGGCATTATCACTCCGAAATCTGCAGCGCGTGGATTTCGTCCTCTCTGAGGGTTTGGTGACTGTTGGAGTTGTCGCAGACTTGGAGGTGATGTGTGCAAGGAGAAGGCGAAAGTAAATGCGATAGATAAAATAAGACAGGTGAAGACGTGATAAAAAAATGCACGCACTGGTGGTGTACGTGTGCAAAGTCCAAACTCCGAGTGATTGATCTGCGCGACGGTTTACGAGACTTCAAGACGCTCGAGCTTTGGGGAGTCTGTTAATGCAGAAAACGGCGGCTGTAAACGGTATGTAGAGTCATTCATCAATATATGAGTATTGCAGTCAGATGACAGCACACCTGAATAAGGATGACAGTTTGCGCTGCCACTCTGGGTAATCATGCAAGAGCTCCTCAAACGCACGGAGCTGGTGTTATACCGACAATTTGAATGATGGTGCAAGGAACAGCCAACAAATCAACAACAATACAACCATGTGAGAAAGAATAGTCACCTTTTGCAAAAACCCCTCGACGACATCCAACTTATCCCTTCCTACGATGATCTTCTTGTCTGCGTACTCAGAGTACGCGAAGGACTTCGAGTTTCGGTTGGACGCCTGGGTGGAGGCTGGTTCGCATGCGTGCGGATGCGTTAGAATTGAGTGATGTCGCTACTAGTATAGCGAGCATTCAAATTGGGAATTGGGTGAATGTGTGCGTGCCCATCAGTATCGTGACATAAGCGGGTGTTAGAGACAACGGGGCTGCTTGACGGTTGTATTGAGTGCTCCAATCTCTTACGACTGCCATTTGCGAAATATTCACATTGTTTCGCTGTTCTTCCTAATCAGTCACTGAAAAATAATTTGAGCTATGGGCAAACAAAAAGCAGTGAGTAACTTACGCGTGTCACATCGATATCTACTAATTTATGTCAGGACTGTTGTCGGTGCCCAACGAAGGGGGAGGTGGAGGAAGTAGTACGATGTCGAACGATTACACTCAGGCTGAGGCGGCGGGTAGTAGTGAACAAACAGTACGTGCCTCCGCATTTTGCATCAGTTTGTGTTGACGTTCGCGATCCAAGGGAGGGCAATGCTGACGGCGGGGAGACGTTGGGTGAGATACCTAAAGGAAGGGTGAGGAAGGTGACGAGTACTATGTCTAGCGGGAAGCCCAAGTATGCGCCCTTTACGAAAAGCTTCAATCTCACCATCCTCGTTGATTAATGACGATTGTCGGATAACCTACTTGACTGTATCACAATATTTTGCATCCATTCGACGAATGCTTGATATTTTTTTAAGAAAAATTTATACTCAATCCTACAACATTGTAACAGCATGTAGCATCAGATCAAGCCTCCAATCCTAGCATGTCTCGTGCCAGTGAAGACTCAGGAACAGATCAGGCTGCGAATATCGTTAAAAAAGAACGTTGATCAGTCTGACTGAGTATCGCCGCCTAGATCCCTGCAAAGTATTGATGTGAATAGTTGAAAGCGAATCTATGGCAAAACTCGAACCAATCGTAAGTTGTGTAGGCCGTATTGGTACAGTTCGTGTGTATTTTGGGCCTGTCGTGTGTTATGGGATATACATGTACTCGGATCGCCGAAGCATTCTTTGCACGAGGGGAGTGAATGGAGTGCGGAAGAAAAGTAAGTAGTAGGTTGGGTCCAGTGTGGCTTGCTGCTGAGAATGCCTTCTACTCCGTCATGCCCTGATATCTAATGGACATTGACCTTGAAGTTACGGTCTCGGCTAACTTTCTCTAGGTTATCGATTGCGCTACGGAAGTGGTCGATCAAATAATGGCCTGGTTTAGTTGAGAACCGATCACCTAATTTAATGGACGCTTGATTATCGACATAGATTGACACCAGGTATGTAATGTCCTCTTCTTGGGAAAGGAGTTGAGCTGCTAACGTTGGGCCTACTGATTCCACCTCACAGACAGTGTTTTTTTTGCTGGTTCCGAGATGAAAACGTAATATGCGCGGGTGACTCTGTCCTTGTCTGTATAGGATTGCCGCCTCTCCTATATGATCATCTATACCTGATCCATCGCAATATATCTTGATTTCGTCCTTATTGGCGGTGTGGTTCTTGATATCTTGTTCCCTGGACTCAGCAATGACAGTAGATTATGAGTTTCGGCCATTCGGGGGATGTCTGCTATGAGTGATGGTTTCGATAGAGGTAATGTCGAGTTGGGAGGCGTGATATAGATGGTGGAGAGATGATCGATGACATTTGACATATTTCCTGGCAGCTTTGCGGACTGGATCACGTAGCGGATGGGACGGGGGATGTGCAGCAAGACGTACAGCGGCCTGGTAGCAGAGGTTCTGCATTCTATGTTCCATTGGTAGTAGCTTCGCGTGTACTTTTAGGGTGTCAGTAGCCGTAGAGCGCATTGCCCCCGTAATACTTAATGCCGCTACTCTTTGAACTCGACCTAGTCGACGGGCCACTCCTATGGATCCGGATTGTTGCTTGTCGTCAATACCGGTGAATAGAGGGCGAAACCACAGATCGACTGCGTATAACATTTTAGGCATAGCTACTGAAAGGTATAACTGACGCATCAGTGAGAGAGGTATGCCTGTGGAAGTGGAGGAGATGCGACGCAGCTGCATAACAGAAGCTGTGCCTTTTGCGATGGCGTGAGCTATGTGGGGTTTCCATCTTAATGCTTGATCTAGGATGACTCCTAGGAACTTATGCGTTGCTATCGGAGTGATCGTAGTTCCACGAGTGCCGTCAGACCTTGCAGGCCACTGAGACTGGTCGACACGTTGGCTCGAGCTCAGAGGATCAACGCTCTCACACCCTGCGAACAGTAGGCAACGTGGGTACGCAAGGGTTAGAACGGTCGTGTTATAGTACTAATAGAAATCGTACCTTCACTGAAACAATCCAACAAAATGGATTAGTAGTCTGTGAGTGAGGACTCGGAGACATCGAGTGGCTCGGATGTGGGTAAACGACCTAGAGGCGATTAAGGCTGAAGGCTAAATGCTTCAATGTCGTCTACTTGTCAAGACAGGGACGGAACCAATAATAATTGGTCATCAAAAACGAAGTAAATCAAATAGAGGTAGCACAAATAACATAGATCCAGTCCGACTTACAACCGAGGTATGGTACAATTACAAGCAAGGGTAGTGTTACATGATTATAGAGCCATAAGAAGAGGTGTATGAGATTGAAAAGCATTCATCAAAGCATTCATCGTCAGATGTAAGTGACGCATGTGTGACAGCACTCCCTGGAGGTGTGCCTGAATTTATCTTAGTATAGGAAAACGGATGTGACTTATATACCTACCATCATCGGTACCCTCGAACTCAGCAATGCGTGCTAGGGCCTCAGAAAACATGTCCACTTCGGCCTGTGCACGCTGCTTCTTCAAGCCCAGGATATGCATGTCAGACTTGAGAATATCCGTAGTCTTGGACTTCATTGGTTGAAAGTCGTCGCTAGTGTCGATGTGTAGGGATCTGCTTTCTGCAAAGGACGCGCTCATGTATGCACGATATGTCATATTATCAACCCAAGTCCTCAATAAACGAGGCAGGGAAAGAAATTGATCGTCCAGCTGCATAACATCAGCACATCGGGTCCTCGTAGTATAAAGAGCACTCACCCCTTGAAAGGATTCATAAATATAAGGATCGTCGTCTATGGTTTGTGGGGAACCAAACAACGTTCGGTTTGCATGAGAATCAGGCCCTACGATGCCTTGAAAATGCGATGTCGTCATAAGCCATGCATGGCATTTGTCTTGAATGGCCTTCGTAGGTCGGAACTGATCGAACATTATCGAGCTGGGCGCCGCGCATGCTCCCGCGTATGCGACATCCTTCACTGTGGATCCTAGCTTGTTGGAGCCAACTAGGAGTAAATTTTGAGTATCGGACATAATCCTCGACGAACATGGCTTACTCGAGAATCTGATTTCTAGCTCTTCAGACAGGTTTGCAATAGCATTACTAAACAACGAAACTTCCATCTGAGCTCGATGTATTCTATGCTCCATCAAACACCCCCCTCAAGAACGGAATGCCGCACAGCTCCTCTCCTCTTCTTGCTGAAGTTACGTCTGCATGGCAACCTCCCTGAGGCTCACGTCCATGAGAGCTATAAGATCGTGGGTATCGACCCATCCAAAGAGCACCGAAGCTGTGATATAGAGAGAAGCTGGAAGCTGAAAATGAAGTTAGAAGACAATATCAAGAAATGTGAGCACTCTCACAGTGTTGCGGTCCTGTTTCTGAAGCCAAGATATGAGAGCTGTCTCGGTCTGCTCAGTTCCAAGAAAATGAGTCTTTGAAGATGTGTCATATGTAGAAAGAAAAGGGGAGCTGATATTTAACATGTCGAAGTTAGAGGGTAGCAAGAGGAAGGCTGAGGAATACTCTCGCGATCGCTGAGTGCTTACACAACCTATAACACTAGCTAGGAAGGCGATGTCCGTGTCACGACACGTTGGCCATCAAACTCTAAATACATCATGTTAGAGGGTAGTAAGAGGAAGGAGTATGCTCACATAACTTATAACACTGGATGGCGATATCAGAGTCATGATACGGAGACGATGGCCATCAAATCAGACGTGGCCATCAAATTCTAAATACAAAAATAGATTAGAAGTCATGAATGAAATAACAGTGACTTCACTACAAGTAATTGTTGACTAGTTCCGTCCGCAAGTATTAAAGATTGTTTCGAAGAATTGTACACGACTGTCACGTTATCAAAGGTCTACAGTCTGACGGAGAACAAAGTACATTTCAGACCATGGGCTCATTGCAGATACAAATTGTACAATATTGGACACAATTACTGGGTCAAGGATGGGTCGCTCCATTTCACCGGCCAATGCGGTACACATGGCCTCACTGCATCTCCGAGTCAGCATTACATAGTAAGATCCCATCCTGAAAAAACTCACATGATTGTGCACAACTCTCCTAGTTTGCCCATGAAGGGCACGTACTGCGGGTCCTCAACCTGCAGGATCAGCAAGATGGCTGTGTCGCGAAGTTCTGTATGGACTTGGCTCGCAGATGGATAGTCTGGCATGAGTCAATTGTGCCCCAAATGGCTACGAGTCTTGCCAGCAGCGCTTGATAACACTAGTGTGAAAACAAACGTGAATGAAGCATCTAGAAAGTAGAAGGCACTTACGCATGACCCTATCAACGCCAGTGTGTCAACCGGCGGATTTGTAGCATTCCTGAAGATTTGTGGCTCGAAATCAGCGATGGTGAGACGAACGCGGCATGTGGCCGTGGTTCGAAATATAACGTGATATACTAATTCCTTCGCCATCTGGTTCTCCAGAAATTTCACAAAGGAATTGACCTGTTGGACGAGGTAGGTCATCTGTCATAATAAGAGTGAATTCATAGAACTTACGCTGAGTGGTAACGAATGAGCGTAAGGGCGTATGAACATTTGCAGCAAGTCCACAATGCAGTGTCTTTGAGCTAACCCAAAGAAGTTGCCTAAGCCAAAGATGCGACTGTCGTCCATGGAGCAGATAGCTACTCTTCTATTGTCATACATGAACTGGCTCATCCACGGAAGAGCCTATTATGGAATAAGAGAAATCAAAATAAGATAAGCAAGACACGTACGAGCGCCAATATTGCGGACTCTGACATCGGAACCTGGGTGTCTTTGGTGAGGACTATAGAGGATTCAGCATGTGATGGTATGTAGGATTAAGCACCCGACCTGTTTCTAAATTCTCAGACGCGACATCTGCCCGAATGAGGGCTTGAGGCCAGCAGACTCTGAGTAACTCGCGTCTACGGTCAGCATAATCCGCAGTTACGAGAATATGTGGGTTGTCGGAGTGTCCACAACACACATGAACCCTCATGAGGATGCGTAGGTATGCGAGACCCCTTCGCCAGTTGGGACAGGTCGTCATGATTCTTTGGAGACTGTGTCTGGCTGTCTCTTTCTTGGTACAGGGAAGAGACCTGGTTCCGGTCACTGATGACATGGCTGACGAACCTACCCATGTAGTCTGGAGAATTGATTCAGAGCCGTTGACCGACTGATCACTGGGGAGGTAGTACCCGTAAGGATACTGCGCGAAATGAATCAGAGTTTCAGGCTCGTGTTCGCGAGCCACCCCAACCTGCGACCGTGACATTGTAGTACAAGAAACGATACAATCATAAGGTGGACATACATGATCGTACACACCGTATATGGCGCTGTGGAGGAAAATTTTCCCGTAACCATGGCAAATTGAGAAACGGCATGATTTCAGGCAGCTACACACAACCAATCAGTAGGAAGGCGTGGCACAGTCGAGATTGAACCTACAGCTAAGACAAATACAGGGACTTCCTTGCCCTCTCGCTCATATGGCGTGCCATGACTCATAGGAGCATGCAAATAAGCAAATAGTGACAGTTTTAGTTTGAGCTGGGAGGAGAAGGTCAGTATATCATGTAGCACACGTAAAATAAAAATCTTACATCATCCAGACTGGCAGGCGGACACTAAGCTCATCATAAGATACCCAGGATAAAAAGAGATACAAGTTGCATGCTTACATAGAGAGGATAAAGCATGGGCTGCGTGCCTATCCACAGATACCCCACAAATGACACGCAAACGGCGGGCGTACCCTGAAGGATCCAGTGTGAGTAAGGTATTTGGGTTTACAACAAAGAAGACAACTGACAGCGAAATATTGCAAGCTGGGAGGATGGATACCGTAAATACAAGCATTGTCATCGACGCTCGGTACGGAGTCGACCAACATCATCACTGTGACTGAGGAACTGGAATGTAAAGTCTATGCAAAGATTATTTAAAGCAATTTGCACGTCTGATTTGAGTTTTGATTATTTTCGACCTGCAACAGGCCATCGCAGCGCCATCGAAGAAGTCACAGGGCCTAGGACACTTAAGTTAAAGTCAGATGTGCATATTACATGTACATACCTCGCTTGAGAGACAGGCCATCACAGCGCCTTGAGCATATTACATGTATGTGGCTCCTTTAAGGTATACGCCGGATATCAAGTGGTATTGGGCGACGGCGACAGATTATATGTACGTATACGTTCTGAACTGTATTTTTGATCAGTCATATAATTCAGCGCCATCCCAGCGCTACAAACACCGTCTATCTCTGCAACGGCCTCTTGGATCTCATTACGTGGGTGGAACAGCATTCCTAAATATCCCGAATCAGTTCTCGTAGTCTAGTTCTACATCACTACCGTACATCTCATTAAATTGAGATATCAGCGACTCGCTACTGGAATCTGATCCCTGTAGAACGTTTTGCGTCCTGAGATCTCCACCTTCCTCTTCATCTGAAGAATCGTCTTCCTGGCCCTCGTCTTCATTATAATCGTCAACGACCTGCCCATCATCTTGTTCTGCACTGCCTCCAGGCACAGGCACATCCTGTGAAGTGGGGTGGTGAGAGTAAATGTGTCCAACTCCAAGACCAAAGTGGAAGCGCATCAGCATATCGCGGTCCACGAATCTAAAATGATGAGCTCCATATAACTTATATGTGAAACAGACCCTCACTCACCGATTGACATAGTATTCCCGCCAATCATCCTTGTCCCTTGCACATGCTGACACCCCCAATCCATTTTGGTATCTCCTGAGGCTGGCGAAAGCAGGTACGATGTGGCAGCCTCTGAGGACAAGCGCTGGATCCAAGAAATCGAATGAGTACTCGTCCGCCATAGGCGGAAATCTGACTCGATCTAAGCTCAAGGTGTCCCAGTCGGAGACCTGATCCGTGGGCTCGTACCATCGGATCCACAGGAATTCCATTCTGCGTGGAGTGTAGTCGACCATTCCGACTCCAATAATGATTACATTCACATGATAAATACCCAGGACCTTACCATAGGTGAACTTGTGACTTGCGTGCTCCACATCGTTGTCGGGGCGTAGCACCATAATATTACAGTGTTCAGTTCGTGGGTTGATTACATCTTGCGCACGACGAACATCGTATGTGGTGTAGTTAATCCTTGCGATGTTGTGGCGATAGATGTGATGTCCTTGATAATGAGTGTGTTGAGAGTGTGATCTTCTCCCGACTCCGACAGATTTTTTGACGTGTTGATTCGACGGACTAAATGTTCCTTGAGTTCAGCACGAAATTCTGCAGGAGCATGTGAGACGAGTCGGTTGCGGAAATACATTTAAATGACCTTGATTGCCGGATCGCCTTCATGGCTGCGTAAGTACGAGCCTATATGGATAGGGTACTTCTGCGTCAGGCCAATGTGATGGTGGACGTACGGGCTTGTCACTATCTCGGCAAGTTCGATGTGGGGGCGATGAACAATTTTGTCCCCTATACGACGAATGCGAGCTTGACGGCGTTCGATCCGAGTGAGCTGCCTCACGAAGGACTTGCGATCCGTGCGACGATATCTGGCCTTGGGTGAACGGTGTTCGAGTTCACCCTGGGGAGGTTCGTCAGTCAGTCGGTCAGCGAAGTCTAGACATGAACGATAGACCACGTACCGGTTCGGTACTGTAGGAATCGGACGTGCCATACCGGCGAATTGTCGACACATAATCGCCCAATGCATGAAATTTGTAGGTCTGAAAGTTGAATACCTTTGTTCGCTGTGCATTCCTTACAGGATTCTCTGCCTCGACCGCTGCCCCTTGCTTTCGCTTGCCCTTCTGGGATCCCTTTTGTTTTGCCGCTAGCTTCGCATGGCGTCGGGCGCGAGCTTCGACCTCCAGACGAAGTTCGCGGGTGTCGTACGCAGAACAAACTTTGGCTTTGAATTCCCGGAATTGTTGACCGACCGCAGAAGTGACGGAGTCCATGATATCAAGGGTCAAATCAGAATGCATTCTAAGCTTGGCCAGTCCGTGCCAATGCGCCATGGTGAATAGCAACTTGAGAACAGCCGTGTTGTGGGGTTCGGGAAGAAGACGGTCAAAAACAGGGATAGAACACTGCAGTGTGTCAGACCTTATTTAACTTCAATTGCGGTGAAATCATTACCTGAAGTAGGTCTTCGAAATTGCGAGCTGCCATCCGTTTCATCTCTGAGGAGTTGGCCGAAAACTTTCGGATAGTAGCTTGTCCGAACGTTGGAATTTGCCTGAATCTGGTCAGTAGGAGGGTCAGCGGAGTGGGTGACGTGTATTCCGGTAACATACCTCCGGTCCAATTCGTCGATAAGTCCCTTGTCTTGCGCCTCGACGATTCGTAGTAGGTGAACGAAAAGCATTTTCCAAACCCCGATTTTGAACTCATGTAAGAGATCTACCATGAGGGCGCAAAAAATGTTGAAACCAAAACGGCTGAGGCGATCTGAGAATGCATTCTGAGGCGTGTTAATCATCGTTACTAGCATGAAACTTGCAGCCTCACCGTGGTGGGTACCCAGGACTGTGGTTTCAGTATTTGTTCCACCGCGTGCTACCGACCCCCAAGTCCTTTTCATAGATCAATTTGCGAGCCTCGCTCACCAAGGAATGCCTTCCGACATCGTCGTGCAAGAGTCTCACGTTGTGTTCTATCCTGAGGCCGACCCATATTATGGATGCGATCCTTGGGTATAAGGCAACGAGGGCATGGGCAACCTCCCATGTTTCGTACTGTAGCTATTAGTACCCTATTCAGACCAGAATCAGCACAATCCAACCTGCCTTAAGAATAATACATACTTTTCAGGATAGTCTGCGGAGTATGTGAAGATTCTAGGATAGAATCTACGCATGACGCCGTCGCAACAGTGAATCACGACACCATGTTCATATACCTCCAGGAACTCGTCGTCCAGTAAAATCTTCCACTGCTCGTGGAAGAATTCTCGATGACAGTGCGTCGCACAATCACTATTTTTCCCGCCTATGAAATCCTTAAACGAATCTGGAAGCTGATAGCGTGAAGTTAGGTACCCTGCAAAGCCAAAATTATGGTAAGACATACTGTTTCGAAGTAAGCAATGTGATTGCTCAAGTTACACGATGGCTTGCACCGGCGATACTTGGATTCATTACCAAAATACATATATGTAGGCCAAAGCTTGGCATTGCCGAAGGAAGTGAGTTGCGTGGCATCAGACCAAAACATGAGGCCAGCCACTACTCGAGGCAGATCACAGCCGGGTTCCGCAGGCAAGCTTTGCACTTTGCTATGAGCTTCGTGGAAAGCCGGAGATGTGTAGAGGTCGCCATATATGGAGACCTCCGCGTCCAGATGGGCAGGGGTCCAACGCAATTTATACGGTTCGTAATGAAAGAGCTTACTATCTCTGGGGTTGGCAAGCTTCTCCCGCAGAACGGCCACAAGGGACCGATGATACAAATCAGCAGCTTGGTAGACACGAGGACCTGGTACTTCGGTGGTACGGGGAAAGGTACTTGGATAGAGACTGACTTTTTTTCCATCCAGCGTCTTCGTCCTCCCACACTTCTCCGTCTCCCTCGTCATACTCGTTCGCGCCCAACTTCATGTCGATGTTCCTCCAATGAGTAGAGCTAACGTCACTAGGGACGAAAGAACTGCAGCCCAATATTCCCACCAGCTTGGTATAATCTCGTTGCGACTTTTGGACTCCTTGGTTCCAGTACCAATCACCCAGCTGGAGAATGAGTGATTGGGATAGGGATGGTATGGAGAGTCGCTGATTGATGGAGGGGGTGAAGGGGGTAATTCATCGACTTGAGGGGCGCCAGGAATAGTTGAGAGGTCTGCTAATGTAACGCATTCTTCTGGATCGTGTAATGGTGGTCTCGAGGAAAAGTATTGACGCACTAGCCCGAAGAGATTCGGGCGGGTGCGAAACACCGTGTGCATTGCTGAGGCTGGGCGGTCTTCTGCGCTGACAACAGAGCCAATAGATTGTGGAAGTTGATCACGGATTTCCAGAGGGACAGTTGGTGGGGGCTGAGGAAGGACATCCCTAAATCTCATCGGTAGCTTTCGGTTTTGACGCCTCGGTCTACGTTGCGCTAAACTCATATCCGCCCCGTCTATGTCCCCTCCCTCACAGGAGGGCCCTCCTGCATCAACTGATGGATTGCGCATAGAAGACATCGTGACTTCGAGACCTTGAGGGACTGGAGAAGCGTCGGCTGCACGGACGAGCGGCTGGTTGGGATGCGAATCAAATAAGACATTGGGTGAAGCATCGACTGCAGACCCAGCTTCATCGTTTGAGAGGCGGGGCCTTTTCCTGTGGCCCATAAACTGTTTGAAAGAAGATAATGCCGACGAAAGACGCTTTTTGGTGTGAGAACATGAATGTTGGTGTTGGCTGAAGTGGTTCTGCGCCGTGAATGTGCGCTTGCAGATACAGGTATAACTGGACGCTGTCATGGAGGAATGTCAGGATCACAAGGAGTGGCCTGAGGTGACTCGAAAAAAAATGATGCGATGGCGCAGGGATGACTGATGGAAAATGTGATAGCGTGGTCATTCCTATGTTTAGTCAGGCACGCGATGGCACAGGGATGAGACCCAGCCGCAGGAGGCTATATATTTTGGGATAGACGCATTCCAGCCACCTACTGTCCTTGCGACTGTAATGTCCGCACCCTCTTCTCCATGTTCTATGTGTTCAACTCTCCTGGAGTTCAAAGCCGACCCCAACGTGGTAAACATGTTAGTGAAGATATTGACTTCACGTCACGGTGTCCTTCATTACCACGGACAAACAGGAGAACTAGCAACGTTTCAATGGTGAGTTAATTGTCATTGTACAAAAAATAGCTGCGCACACCTACTCATCTGGATTCCAGGCCGACCACTAAATTTGGGCATAAAATACACCCTTCAAGATTTGCGCTTTATCGAGAGGTGCACAACTTTCGTTACCCATGCTGCCTGTGCGCAACGGGGGGCAGATATGTCGAGGCATCGATCTTTCAGCAACTAGAGGTGTATATCAAGGGCAGTACGTTGCCGAATGCGCGACCAGCACATGTGGTTACATGCGTAAGTCGACTTTTGCTCCACCAAAAGGAAAGGATTTCTGATCTATGACTAAGTAAATGTTGAGAGATTTTTTGCAAGAGCCTACGTACCGGCTATGTATTATCCTCGGAGGTGTGTGTTTAAGATTGTGCACGTCCGTACATGCTCATATGTTCAGGGACAATCAACCGCCGTACATGTTTCCGTATGATTGATGTCAGGCACAACGATAGATGGACTGAAGTGGGCAACGCACTATCAGTATCTTGTCCTTAGTTTGAAGGATACGTCCACGCCTCATGTCAGGACATTCGCGCACTCGAAAGTACGACAGGGACACTGTGGGTCCCTTTTACGTTAGACTAGGACGTATTGTCCTACCTGCAAAGTGACAGAAATCCTAATCAAATCAAATCAAAAATAAATAGAATACGTACAATTTAGCAGGAGGAATGAGGTGTGGCGCGCTGTCATGCATGGTATGTGATTCATACCATGTCAGATATATATAGAGAGTGATAAGGAAGATATGAGAGACTGTCTAGCCCTCTGTCACTGAGTTACCTTTCTATTTTTCCTTTATTTCATTGTCTTGTATTTTATTTCTCACTTTTCAGATTTATTTTACCTTGTATTTTTATGAGCATGTGACCTTCTGTTTATTTCTCATTATTTATTTTTATTTGGCTACTTTCAGCCACAGATTTGTTTGTCAAAGTTTTGTATCTCTATTTATTTCTGACTGTTTATTTTATTTGGCTTCTTTCAGCCACCAGATTTTATTTGTCAGCACATCATGTGACTGGGGAATATTCTGGTTTGTAACATTATTTAAGCTGACTCAACATGTTTAGTCATGATTGGTCATGCTTTGTAACAACATTCACATGACTCATCATGTTTTGTCATGATTTGTCATGCTTTGTAAATTCTTTGTAAGATTACACTGTATTTGTAATGTACTTAGTAATAAGCTGATTCATCATCTGGTTTGTAAGCCACATTCTTACCAATCCATCTGATAAATCATGCTTAGTAAGGGGGTTCCAAAAGGTATAAAAGGACCCCATTTTCACCCATAAAATATAACTTCCCATTTTTCATTCTTCTCTCAAACCGTGTGAGAGTACGTAAGAATAAAAGTGCAGGCAACGTGCCTTGAAGTAAGACTAAGACACATCATTATTCTATTCTAAAGTTATATACTACCTTACAGGGGTTGACTATATAACTTTCATTATCGTTATTCTACTCTAGGTTATATACTACCTTACAGGGGTTGACTATATAACCATCGAAACAGCTCTCATTCTAAGCTTTACGTGTATACATAAGACTCTCTCTTTCAACGGAAAGTGAGACACATATCTAAGGACGACAAAGTTGAAACAGACTTCATAGGTTGAAACACGACCTACTAGGCTGAAACAAACCTAACGAATTTATCCAGAACACAGAACATTCCACAACACTTCGTATCAGACTACACAAGAAGAGGACAACAAACTAAATCCTCCCAAGAACTCACCACGTTACCTCCCACGAAGTAGAAAAGTCGGAGACCGTGGACTTAAGGACTGGCAAGAAGTCTTCCCTGTGTATAATTGTGTTGTCATTATACACAACTTTTATATAAGACCCTTAAGTAACAAGACATCACTGGAGCCCACCGCGAGGGAGGCTTCTTCTTGTACCAAACATAACGCAACAATCGTAAACAAAGCCATACTTTGTATAAATCACTCCACCCACACACCACACCATCAACAATCATATCAAAGCAAACACAAACAAAAGTCAAACATGACTACACGATCCGTATTAACATTACCTAACCCTGGAACTAAGGCAGCACCTGCCAAATTCAAGGGTGGATTTTCAGAAGTCAAGGACTTTCTGAAACACTATGAAAAACTGTGTGATTATCACAATGTAACCTCTGATGAGGAGAATGTGAATCTATTACCCAGTACATGTCCCGTCACGTAACAGAATTTGTAGAGGGACTACCCAGTTTCAGATCAAATAACTGGAGCAAACTCAAGGCTGACATTCTGAAGTATTATGATGCAGACCTTGACACGAAGCGATATAGACGCAAAGATTTATTGTCCTATGTAAGGACAACACGAGGAAAGTAAATCCCTACACTCACTGCTTGGAAGAAGTATGTGAGAGGGTTTATTCGTATTGCAGGATGGCTTGAACAAGCCAAGAAATTAACAAGTGAAGAATATGCAAGTTACTTCTGGGAGGGAATTTATAAGAAACTCCGTATTAAAATCGAAACACGCCTCATGGCAAAGGATCCAGACAGAGATCTATCCGAAGCCTTCCCAGTAGACCGAGTTATTGCAATAGCAGAGAAATTGCTACACCGTGACCGGTTTGATGCAGACCTATTAGTTTCTGAAGTAGAGACCGAGTCTGAAACTGACTCCTCAACTGAAGAAAACTCTGATGCCAATACAGACTCAGAGTCTAGTGAGTCTGAAACCGAGTTTTTTCGTAAGAAGAAGAAGGCCCAGAGCCAAAAGATAAGAAAGTAGTAAAGAAAGCTCAAAAGAAAGCAAAAGGGCATGTCAAGGAAGCCAAGACTAAGACTTCCTCAAAGGATACTAAGAGTCCTGGTATCACTTCACCAGAACCTATGGATGAAATGGAGGGACTCATCAAGAGACTTAATGCAATCTCACTCGATGACCCAGACTATGCTCTGTATTACTACAGGGCAACACGAATTGATCCTACCATCAAAGATATGATAGCAGCCCCTATTTTGAAAAGAGGTAATGCTACCCAAGGAGAATATAAGCCTTACAACAATCAAAATGGACAAAGTAATGTAAGGCAAAACAATAATGCAAATCAGACATTCAGAGGACCACAACCAGGTACTAGGTTCTATCACCCACCAAACACCCCTTTCAATGAACGAACATGCTTTGGTTGTGGCGAAAAGGGGCATGGCATTCCAATGTGTCCACAAATCAATAAACTAATTGCTGACGGTAAACTCCAACGTACACACCGTGGGCAAATCGGAAAACCAGATGGAAGAGCCGTAAGACGGTTACCTGAAGAAACGATTATCGAAGCACTAAAGCGAGAGGACAGTGTGCCAGTAGCTCACTTTATTAAAGTGAATAGCGGAGACGCACAAACCTATAGTGCAAATAAGCAAAATAAATTTCAAGAGTCTAGGACTGCATACATTGAAGAGTATGTGAGTTCGGATAGCAAAGATAGTGACACGGACGATTCAATCAACCGGCACGAAGAGACTGATGAAGAAGAAAGTGATACAGATGAAGAAACATATGCATTCCCGGTTGAAAGGGTCACACGAAACTCCACACAAGGAAGACGTGAAAGATTTGAGGAGGTATTCCCTCCAGGTCAAAGCAAAAATTTAAGGAAACCAAGTGAAAAAGATAAAGGAAAAGATAATGTTCCCACCACTCAAGCCAAAAAGGCTGATACTCATACCAAACCTAAATCCACACAACCCGTTCCAACCACAAAGACAAAGCCCGCAAATAAGAAAGAGACGGGAAAAGGTCTAGATAATGGGTGGGATAGTGAAGACATTGTCATGGATGATGTGGATGAAAGGAAGATCAATGAGAAACACCCAAAGACCAATGAAACACCTTACAAATCAACCCCAAACTCGGATCGTAAGAATATGACAACACGTCAACGTGTCTCCGACATAGCGGCTAAGATTAAGCCAGAGAAAATTCTTGAAACAGTGTTGAGGACTCCTATCCGACTTGAGGTAGGAGAGCTTCTTGGCACCTCTCGTGAGCTTAGCGGAATCCTCGCTAATGCTATTAAACCGAAGTCCTTACCTAATGACTCAAAGATAGAAGCACATTCGGTATGGACAAAGACACGCGGGCTATTAATCAAAATAGCTATGCATTGTGACGGTCAAGCGATTAACGCAATAATTGACACAGGTTCACAACTCAATATCGTAAATAAACACGTCTGGAAGACTATTATTAATAGGCCTATTGATATTGCCAAGTCAGTATCTATGAATGACGCAAACGGTGGTGAAGGCAAACTTCGTGGATTGGTACAAAATGTTCCACTAGATTGTGGAGGAGTTAGTACTCACGCAAATTTGTTTGTTGGCGATCACGTACCATTCAGTCTATTATTAGGTCGTCCATGGCAAAGAGGAAACTACGTCTCCATTGACGAAAGAAAGGACGGGACGTGGTTATTATTCAAAAATCCACTCGATTTAGAAGTCCGTTATGAACTTCTATGCACTCCTGACGGAAATGATCCTAATTGGGACTTTGAACCGTCCACTTGGGTCAGTAATATGGGCGAAACAACCATGTTTTGCGAAATTAATGAAGAATTGCCAAATTCGGAATTTAGCGCGCGAAACTCTAAACTCAAAAATCACGTGACTAAACTTTTGCAAAATGATCTCCGTGCCGAGAATTTTATTGGTAAGAAATTTATCAGCAAAGGCCGGGATCAGTCAGCCAAAATTGAAATAAAAGATTTCTCAAAAAGCATAAAAGAAGCGCCAGAACCAGCGCTACGCCCAGCGCCCACTAGCCTCGTGTCTGAGAAATACAGCGCGAGGCATCCAGAAATCACACACACATCCATTTTTGGTAATCTATTGCGTTTTCGGAAGATGCCGGAACACGTGTTCGACAATACTCGCGCCGAACTGGCCGATTTCCTTTTGAGAATCCCGGCAATTTCCGGTTCAGCACTTCCATTGAGAATGATGCGCTCACACTTTCCTTCCACGCTACTGCCTTCTCCCCACCTGCCGGCAACGACCAGCTTGACATTCCCTCTCCCTCTTACTCTCCCGTGCTCTGGGAGGAGTCATCTCTGGACACGGACGATCCTGTAGAGGGCACTGGAGTTGGAGATTTTGTTGGAAGGGAGGGTACGTCTTTTTCTATCTTTGATTATATTCAAAATCTAACTAATCAAAACGCTATCTCATATTCACCCCCTCCTCGACAATCCTTGGCCAACGCCAATGCTAATGTTATGCGCGGCACTTACGCCAACGCCGACACCAACCTCGCGCCTCCAACGCCAACGGCAATCTCTGCCCTCGCACCACCAACGCCAATGGTGCTCTCTGCCCTCGTGCCACCAACGCCAATGGTGCTCTCTGCCCTCGCGCCACCAACGCCAATGGCGCTGCTCTCTGCCCTCGTGCCACCAACGCCAATGGTGCTCTCTGCCCTGGCGCCACCAACACCAACGGCACTTTCTGCCCTCGCGCCACCAACGCCAACGGCGCTCTCTGCCCTCGCGTCTCCTCCCAATGCCACCTTTGGGACGGCTGCCACCATCCTTGCACCC